ACTACGTAACAAGATTTTTAGTGCATTACATGCTTCATTATAGTAAACTTATATAAGAGTGGCAGATTTATTCGAAAAGCTTTTTGACAAACATTTACTTCGTAATTTATCAAATATCGTCAAAAGAAGTTGTTCTATTTTCAAAATTTTCTTGCTTTTTTTTCATCTTTTCTGCGTTTTAATGTATTCAAATTGTTTTGTATCTCTCTACATTTAGCAATAAAGAGCTCTGCCGCTGTTTTAGAGTGTTAAACTTAATGTTAAATTTTCCTTTGCTACATAAAAATAGTAAGACTTAGAAACTTGAAACTTCAAAGGTGTAACACAAAGAGTACGATAAAAGCCAACAAAAGAAATTAATATTCGCTAATTAGTTTGAGAATTATTAAAAGTAAAAATACAATAACTGTAATAATAATAATAATAATATCAGTAAAAATACAATACCATGCAGGTTTCAGAAATGTAACTACAGGGTTAAATTTTGATGTGCTGAACAGCCATTTTTATTGTTGAACTTAACGAGCTTTTCCAAAATTCTGATTTGTTTGAAAGTTATTGCAAATCTTTTCTCACCTTTACTTGCTAACATTCATATCACTTTTTTTTGCCTTAACATGTTGTTAAGTTTCATTTAAAATATTAACTTAAAAAATATTATTTAACATGGTGTTCCAATCAGCTCTTCAATAATTTTTCTTATTTTTAACTTGACTGAGAGAAATCATACAGACCAGAAAAATATTAATTTATTAATAATAAATATTAATAAATTAATTTAATAAAATTTATTCCTCAAATATCTTATTTTTCTCTAAAAAAATACATAAAATGTAATTTTTTTAACATAATAAAGAAAAGACTTGGAAAATGTAATTATGAATTTATATGTATAAAATGAATGTTGGATGAAATATAACTAAAGTAAGATGCGTTTAAATTGGATTATTTCTTTCATATTCCGAATGTCATGGGGTTAGTGTCGGCTCTTTTTATCTTTTGCTAAAGAAAAGAACATTGTTGTTTCCTTTATGTCTAAACTAGTTGTTTTCTTATGGCTAAACTAGTTTGTGCTTTCTTTTTTGGTCAGATGAAAAGGGGAGGAACACAACACAACATCCGAGAAAGAAGAAGAAAATTGATCACTTGTGTTTCTTTTGTATTCTTCATAATTAGTTTAACCTAAATGTGCTCCAGAAATTAATGGAATATTTCAATGTTAATTTAAAATAAATGCGTGAGGAATCTCTTATTCAATTTAACTTACTCTTCTTCCTATTGCGAATGCGTTTCATTGATAATTATATTTCATAGTTCCAAGTTAATTTTTTTTTATTTATTCACAAGTTTGCTTATAATATTAGCTTTTTTCCAAACGTTATAAAAAAATCTACATTCCTCTTTTTAGTATGATACTATAAAATTAATTCACAAATTCTGAATGACTTAAAATTTATTGTTGTAAGAAATATTTATTGTACTTAAATAAATACAATAATTATTACCCAAGCATGCTTAAAATAAAAGAAAAATTATTTCGAAAATCCAATATCTATAAAATCTTTTGTTCAAAAGAAAATAATAAAATAAATAAATCATTTTTTCTGACTTTAAATTTAAAGAAAGACACAGTCAAAAAACAAAAACAATTTTTTTTCATACCTTAATATGCTTTAACTTTATTTTATTTCTTTTATAATTATAAAATTGGCTTATATTTTCTTGCAAATAAAAATTAATTTAATTTTGTTAAATGGGTAAATTAAACTAGACCCAAATAACACTTATTAAGGACATAAATAGCTTTAAAATAAATTTAGACAACCATTACTTACTACTTTTTTATGTTGCATTTCTTAAACAAATTTATTAGTCGATATGTTGTATTTTGACTAAATCCATAAAATCTTAAACATGTGGCGATAATAAATTCCGCAATTATTTTCTCGGATCATTTACCAGAAAACTGTTTTACCAATAACGAAAAAAATTTCGTGAATCTTTCGTGCGATGGCTCAGGGAATAGAGCCTTCCAATGAGGTGAACCGGGGTTCGATCCCGGCGAGGGCTGGTCGATACGAATTCCGCATCCGGCTTTCACCGACCACAGTGCTGACGTGAAATATCCTCAGTGGTAGACGGATCATGGGTTAGAGTCCCCTTGCCATCCGGCTAACCTTGGGATGTTCTCGTGGTCTTCCTCTCCATGCAACGCAAATGCGGGTTAGTTCCATCAAAAAGTCCTCCATGAAGGCAAATTTCTCCCAGTACTTTATCCAGGAATTCCCTTGTCTTCTGGATTAGGTTCAAAATTACAAGACTACGGAGTTGAACATTAAGTAGTCGTAAACCCAAAAATTTTGTCGACTGTTCAACTACGGTTATAATTATAATATACCTATTATACAGTATGTTTATTCTATTACGAATATCAGCTTTGTGGTATTATATCATGCATATGAGATAGCATTGTTGTACAATATATTTACGTAAAATCAAGGAGGATATTTTAATATTCTTAAGTCAATGTGTAAAATTATGTGACTTATTATTCAATTTTTAAATTATTTATAATTAGAATGTACGATGCACTGATAGAAACATTTCAAATTTATACTATATCCTAAGGGCTCACTACAACTATTCCTACCGAAATATCATCTCTAATAAGATTGATGAAATAAAAATCCCTCCGGACTAAATCCTTCCATTCCTATTGTTTCATAAGTCAGCTGCTCAATTCCTTATCTGGCGAGTACCCTTCATTGCTTATTCATTTCAGGCCAACCCCCACATCAATTCCGCTCCATTGATAACTCGTTAATACCTAAAAGGAGTGTTCAACACACATCCCAAAAAGAATTTTGTACCTGCCTTATCTAAATTAAAGATCAGACATTTGGACGTGCGTCCAACCTTCTCGCTAATTCTCGTCTTTATTTTTCTTCCCCAAATCGATAACCTTTTTCTCTTTTTCATCATGTCACTTATACTCCAATCTCTTACTTTTTAGTTTTTCTTCTTTTGTAGATTATTGTTAGGATTTTATGAGATCACAGGATTAGTGTTGTAGACATGAATAGCTTAACTGTGTAACGTCTTTACCTTTCACAAAAGTAGAGTTTTTGGAATGTCTTAAAGAATGTTTCCTTTGCCGAAAAGATATGGTTCTTTTTTTTTTCTTGGAGTTGTTTAACTTAATCTTTTTTTTTCTCTGAAACTACCTATCTTTTCATCTAAGTCATTTACAATTCCTTCTTTATTGCATGGGACTAAGCATGAAGTGAGGAGATACTATTTCGTAGTACTTATCTCGGCAATTAAAGATGAAAATTGGCTGTTGAAATTGTTCTGCTGTTTTATAGTGCAATTAAGATTCCTCATCGCTGCATTTGAAATTTGGCATTTAGCATTCGTTATTTTACAATATTAGTATTATATTACCGCTTATGAAGCCTTTTCAGTTTCCTACAGTGCCTCGAAATAATTGTATTTTTTTCCTTCTCTATCATTGTGTAAAATTTAATAATAATAATAATAAAATTTATAAAGGATTTATTGTTCTTTTTTGGTAGCAATATACGGTACTAAAAATATTAATGCACAACAAATCTTTCTTATATGTACATACATACATATATATATATATATATATATGTGTAGNATTTTTTCTAGTCTTTTTTGCTAATGTTTTTATTCTTATTTATTTATTTATTTATTTTTAAATTTTTTTTTTGTTTATTATTATTTTTCTTTTCTAAATTTGACATGCCCTTTTAGTATGTATTTCTGCTTAAATATCCAACATTGTTTGATATCATACTTACGTCTGTAAGCCTCGTGTTGTACTTTTTCAGTGGTGCACGAGGAATCTTTTTGTTCTTGAATAAAAAAATCAAAAAAAAATCATAGAAACATATATTTTTTCAGGATAGAGTAACATATTAGAGTAGCTTATCATCAGTAACATATGACTATTCAGTGCCTTCAACCCAGCATTCTGTTAATGGGCATGAGTTTTCGTTTATTGAGGCATTTTGCTAGCAATTAAACAGACTAATGTTTGTTAAATGATATTTTTTTAACTAAGAAAATATCTTCTGCTCTCGCCTTGCATTTCAGTTATAGGAATTTAGAAAAAAATAGCACATTTTACTTAGCATAAAAACACGCTAAGTTTTTGCTATTGGTATTGAAACAGTGAAAGGATGAAAGAAAGAATAAATGATGAAAATGATTGCCGTTTTTAAAAAATTATAGCAAAGCTGTAAACTTTGATTACAGGAAGAAACAGTAAACTAATATAAGAAGTAACTTCTACACTTTGCTTCTACACTGGAATTTATGACCTATATTGTACGTTAATAGTCTATTTTATTTGATGTCGAAAATAAATTTTTTGTCATATTTTTTCGTTGTTTTATTTTATTACGCCCATTTTCATAATCAAACACTTACACTAAAGTGACTTTAGTCTTTAAGGAAACTATTCAGTTTAAACCTCAAACTAAAAATGATTATGAAAATTGGCCTCATCATCAGAATTTAAGCATAGTATATAGGGGCGCACAAAATTATTCTTGTACGCAGGCGTTCGCCACCCCAGGAACGGCACTGACTATAACCGATTTTAAAGCTAAGCATCTCCTTTGTATAATATGAAGAAATGTTTTAATTAAATTTTTAATGGAAAAATCGTTGGAAATATGCAAAAGGTACCTTCTAGAATACCTTTTAAGGGGAAATTTTCTTTTCATTTTGGGTGACTCATGTCATTTTCAAAACTAAGCAATACATTCGTAATAAAAAAATAAAGAGAAGGTTTTAATTATTTTTAGTGGGAAATATATTAGGGAATCGTAAAACCTACATGCATTTCTATGAACTATTTTTTTTAAAAATTTGCATGGCTAAGTTCCGTTTTAAAACTAAACATCTCATTCGTAATTTTCAAAAATTGCTGTTCACAAGTTATTGTATTTGTTTCTGTTCTATTTCAGGACGCCGTGGCAAAAGAGGTATGAAAGGGGAACCAGGTGATCCCGGAACGACGGTAAGAAATTTTATTTAATTTTAACAACTCGAAAAAGATAAAGAAAATTTCAAAATTTAATTACGTTTTTTATTTACCCTGAGAAAATAATCATAGACGAAATTCCATAGCTTAATGCCTGATGTCGGATTATTTTAAAATCATAAAAAAAGTACTCCTGCTGGTGTCAAATTACAAGAAAATATTAGCTTATTTGAGCAATAGAAAGGGGGGGGAGAGCAATTTTCGGTATAACAATTTGCAACTGAAATGTGCCTCATGTTCTTTGCTTTATTTAAATATAATACTAAAAAGCAAGAAAAAAATACAATATTTTGGTAAAACAATTTAGTAATTTTGAATTCTTTCAAATGCACCCAAGATTAAATCATAGGTAAACTATTTATTAATGTGCTCTATGTTAATATGGTACAATGAGCTTCAAATTTTAAACAATTTCTGGTAAAATTATTTGTCGATCAAAAGGTGCCTTGTTACATTTGAATTAGTTCAAAAATAATAATACATTAAAATTAAGGCAAAACCCATTTTTCTGACAAGTCGTTCTGAAAATAACGTATTTATATGCGCCTAATGTTCATTTATAGGAAAACGCTTTATTAATGTGTTTTGCAATAAATATTATGAAGTAAGTTTTAAAATTTAGAATAATTTCTGATGCAACTATTTATTAATTAGATAATATCTTCATGCACCCTTCTTTCCGATCATTAACTTGGGACATACGTGAGATTGAGTGCTGGTGCTGTTTTACCTCATTTAATTCGAAATACTAGTGCATCAAAGAGGAAAAAATAAAGCGATTTTTTACACAATTTATTATTATTAATTAATAATAATAATTAATTATCATTTTAGTTGTAATTTTAATTATAAATTTGATTATAATATTAATTATAATTTTAATTATGAATTTAATTATAAATTTAGTTATAATTTGAATTATAATTTTAATAATAAAATTTAATTATAAATTTAATTATAATTTCATTTAATGTTAATTATTTTAATTACAAGACCTATGTTTTTGTTTACTAACCATAGTTCAAGTAGTTCTTATATAATAAAACATTGAGCAAAAGTAGTGAGGCATACGAGGATTTTGATTTTTAAGGGCGTGAATAATGCATAGTGCTTGGATACGAACTAACTACTACTAAACTCAGTGGAGCGACAGCCCATAGAGGGCCAAGGCCTAGTGTGCCCATCTCAGTTTTCTTGCGAGCAGATGTTCCGGTTAGGTGGTCAGCCGAAAGCGAAATGTTCGTGTCCAAGCATGCTTGGACACGAGCATTGTCAGCAATTATCTATGTTTCTCCTTTAAATCTTTATTACATAAATTATTATTTCTTTTTCTTTTAATTGAAAAAGAGCCACACAATTTTGCATTGTTCGCCCCAGGGGGATAAATTCTACTACGTTCTGGATTAAAACATCATTATACTCCCTTTTCCTTTAAAAAAAAATGTTTAACAAGAGCAGAAATAAAGAGATTAAATTGAACTCATTTTTAATTCTATAAAAGATCCATTCATTCACCTTTTTAATAGAACACTCATATCTTCCTTGTATAAGTCACTCCGCTATCAGCTAAATGCATTTTATTTCAGACATTTTGGAGACTAGAACTAAAAACCAAATAACTGAGTTGACTCGTAACAAATGAAAACTTTTAGAAATGTTAGGAGGAAGCACTTAATTCGTTAATGGAACTAGTCCATGGACTGTCTTAAAGTTGGTTCTTATCTATATGAAACTCTCCTCTTTTGCTAGGCAATTACTTGGATACATGTCGTGATTTTTAATCCTTTTTACAAATATTACGTGATGACGTTCAGCATTGTATTAGCGTCGTGTTAAAAACTCTCATTTTATCTTTCGGAACAGTTTTTTAATGACAATTTTTAAAAGGTATTTTTTGTTTCATTTCAAAAGAAATAAGTTGAGCCATTAGTCTTATGTATAAAAAAAACACTCCTCAGTTTTGATATTTTGGTATTTCTAGATTTATTTTGTTTTTGAAAAGAAAAGAAAAAATATATTAAGTTTCACGCTATTGGCTGAATTATGATACGAAATATTGTATATAGGAATATGAAGCTCCAATGATTGAATTAATTACTCAGTACCTATTTGTTTGATAGTCCAGTCTCAATACTGAATCTTCTTGATTGAAATAATAGCTGAATACCTGTTCTTCGTACGGGGTGAAAAAAAGAGAGAAAATGATCAATGAATTGGTATTTATCAGCACTACAAAATCATGCAAAAAACTTTAAATATATATATACCGATGCGATTAATTGAGCTAAAACAATTCCATTTATTTTATTTTTATTACTATTTGCTGCCCTTTTCGGTGGCTTTATGTTATTAGCTTAATCAAAACATTCTTTTAAAGTTTATCCTACCTCATACACCTTTTGAAATACGAATTCAGTGACGTTGTTTCTATAAGTTGTGAAATTATTAACGTTGATTTTGCTTTTGGTAGCTTAATACAGCACTTCCCAAATGGTGTTCCGTGGATACCTAGGTTTCCGTGGAAGGGTAACAGGGGCTCCAAGAGTAAGGAAATTTTCTAACCAGTAATGATTTTCTGAACTTATATAATTAAATTTATATCCAATTAATAATTCATCATTTATTTAATAATTCCCCTATGTTTTTGAAATTATTTTATTAAAATACTTTTGAAAAAAGGAATTTAAAACCATTTTTTTCTAATTAAATGAATAATAACAAAGATATTCATTTATGAAAAATTTCATTAGTATTTCGAATCGAATGAAAAATACAAAATTCAACAATGAAGAAGTATGTTTCTCTGATAACCATTCTCAGTGCTTATTTTCTTCAGTTTTCGTTTTTATTTTAATGTAAACCATACTTTTAGCTCGTTTTTTTTTCAGTTTATGCATACATTGAAATCAAAATGAGACCCGTGAATTCAACTGTTTGACATAAAAACTTATTTTAAGAATAATACTGATAAAATGATACGATGAAAAAATTTCATTCTTCATTCACTCACAAAATAAATTCAAAATAATAAAAATTAGATCACTACGTATTTTTAAAATAATTCGCAATCTTTGTTACTTAATATGTGCACAATTGCTAATGAAACTTACTCATTAAAACTCGACGTTCCACCAAAAGAAAGACGATCGCTAAAGCTTCAACAACCGAAAAAAATTTAAAAAGTAAACCTGTAGCCTAATACAGGAAACCTAAGTTTAAGAATTTATAGAAACATGTGATAAAACTATTTTTTTATTGATTAGATCTACAAACTACTGAACAGAATAATTTTTAATAAGTACATTCAATTTATAAAAATACAAAGCAGAATGGAATTCAAAAGTAACAATTCAGCTTCATATATAGCTTTATTTAAAATATTTGTTTTCAATTGTTTTCATTACCAATTTCAGCGTGGTTTAAAATAAAGCACAAAATTAGTATAGGATGTGTATCTAGGCGGAATTCTGTTTACAATAATTTTAGTAGTGGAATTTTGTCCAACTCTTGAAGCTGATAACAGTTTGGTACTGGAAATAATACTTTCTATTTTTTATTGCAATAAACCACTTTATTACGCATGCCTACGTAGCGAGCTAGACTAACTAACAGTGATATGCATTTTTTAACATATAGATTTTCGCTTCAATACTATTATTCTTCTGCGTCAAAAATAAGAACGATTTTTTTTCTTCATTTGTACTATTAATACATGAATTCATTCATTCTAGTAAGCTGAATATAAACAAAGCAGAAGGTTTATATGTACCTCATTCAAATTCGCAGTTCTGAACCGATCCGCACCTAATTTGGTAAACATACGTTCGAAAACACTGAGAACTTAACTATCTTCTTTAAAACTCCCTGCAACCACCTACATCCCAATGAAAAAATTTTTCAAACAATTCGATAAGTATTTTATAATAACGATTTACTAGCTTGAAGCTCTAAATTAGTTTTGTCACACGTTTTTATGAATTATTTATGTTAGGTTTCCTATGTTAGGCTATCATCAATGCTATTGTTGGTTAAAATCAAAGTTAATAATTTATAATTTCGCCGGTCAGGTGGCCAAGTGGTTGGCGTGCCTGACTGCGAAGCCAATGGCTGCAGGTTCGAATCCCGCTCTGGGCATGGATGTTTCGCTTTCTCTGTGTTGTCCTCTGGTGTGTGAATGTGGCCCACCCTATGAACGGGTATTTGTGGCAGTGTGGCGTGGGTAATGTTGCTCGCCTCCGTGACTTTGGTTCACAGGTGCCCACTGAGTAACAGTAAATGAGCAAAACTTCCGGCGTCTTCTAAGGCGAAGAGCGAAAGTTCAGTGTCTGCCGTTATTTAAAAAAAATTAAAAAAATAATTATAATTTCTCAAAGTATGGTGATGACGTCACCAAATTCATATCTTAAAACGTATATGAAACTACTTGTTTCTTATATTGATGCTTTGAAGAGCACGGTGGGCAAAAGTATAGTTTAAACTACCAGAATATGGTAAAATTTACAGTGTTTCTGAGTTTATGGGAACACCAAGAAGCTCAGTAATTTTTACCCAAGCACTTCTGTAATGATTTTGGTAAAGTAAACAATAAAACCTGGTTTTATATTATGTGATAAAATTTAGTAAATGTGGTAAAATTAGGAAACTTTATCATGATACCTTAGAGCATGGTACAAAAACCATTATGAGATTATCAACCCTTATAAACTATATTAAAAGCAAATTTATACTTTTCAGTTCTGTACTTTTCACTTAATAGGGAACAATAAAAACTAAAATTTTGAATACCAGAATTTCGGATAAACTGCTAAAATATGAACGTAAAAATTTCCAAATGACTGGTTTAAGTATGATACAATCTATTCTGGTTTTATTAATCCGATTCATGTTGTTGTTTCTTTGCCAGAAATGTCATTAATGGTGTCTTGGGATATTCATTCACTTTTAGATGCACCTGGATAATTTTTTTTTAAATTTTTTTCCTCACATGCACTGCATAAAGCAACTACTTCAATTACTCTTATCTGGAGTAGTTTTTATTATTATTTTTTTAATTTTAAAGCAATAATTTCGTTATATGTTTAAAATTGATTCAAACGCTTTGTTTAATTTTTTTTTAAATATTTAAGCTATAGCAAAAGTGGTATTAGATCTAGTATATATTTCGGACATTTTCCAAAGGTCTAGTCTTACTAGGTCTGGTTAAGTGCCATTGCCCGGTATACCCTACACTGATGTTTTTTAGGGTTCAGTGCCACTGCCCGGTACACATTTGCCCGGTATACCCTACACTGATGTTTTTTTAAGGTCAAGTGCCACTGCCCGATATACATTTGCCTGGTATACTCTACACTGATGTTTTTTTAAGGCCAAGTGCCACTACCCGGTATATATTTGCCCGATACTCCAAACACTGATGTTTGTTCTAATCTATCGTCAGTAAGAATTAAAATATCGAATAGATGTAATTATATCCACGAATAAATTAATATCAAATCGGATGTAATAAATATTTCGGACATTCACCAAAGCGACTAATTTGATTGTCAACATTCACCGGTGAAAGTCAACAACCACCGATTTCGGTCATTAACAGTAACATGCACATCATTTACATAATAACCTCAGCAGGACGATTATTCATACTTTGCCTAAATAGCATCCCGCATTTCAAGAAGTAAAAATAATTGATTTTGTTGGCGATGATCTCGTAAGGCGATAAAGAATCATGCATAGTACAGGTAAGGAAGATATTAACCTCGAAGGAAAAGTGGATGAATACCCCTTGGAACCGTCATTAATATACAGTACGGTAACTTAGCCAGAATGTTTTCCCCCCGTACGTATTTCGCAAACTTAACGAAAACTCAACAAGAACTAATAAAATAAAATTAAGGTTAGATATAAAGCCATGAGAAAATTGTGATAAATTCTAAATATCACAGGTTAAATTAAAGTTCATGAATTGAACTTTTAACTCATATTACGACAAAAAAAAAGTATTGAAATTCACTTTTCAGATTTTTAAAAAAAATAGATAAAGAAATGTCACATAACGTTCATCAAATCAAATACTATAAATATTATTATTCAAGAAATTCAAAATTGGTTGAGAGGTAGATCATGTATCACGCATCAAATTCTTAAATCAGGTAAATTAATACCTGATTATACTGATCCAAAATTTATTATATACAAGAACTCTTTTACTGTTAAAATTTATCAACAATGATCACTTTGCTGCAAAATATTTAAAACGTTTCTTGAAAAATTTTATAACATGCATTTTAGTTTCCAGTAAATTTTTTACATGCAATTTTAGTTGAGTTATGAAAAGTGCCAAATTAAACCCTCGTGAGGAATCGACTGAAACACGCCTACTTTAACACTTAGATATTATTATTTTTTTAGTATCATCGTTTATTTTTAAAAAGATAAGCACACTTAAAATAAATAAAATATCGTTTAATTATGCTTTTAATACAACGTGAACCATTAATTAAAGGTTTCTTTACTATATCATCAACTTTATCTTTAAAATGTAGCCAGTCGAAGATAGCAATAATTTCTGCCGCACGCATCAATAAATTTACGTCGCCATAGTAGAACCACTCATCATATCTGATCATAAATCACTCAAACGATTTCGAGGCAAATGCCTGTTTTAGATCATTTTGAAATATGCTATTCATAAGGTTCAATTGCCGAAGATAAGAAGGAAAAAAAACTGAATTATTTTGTGTATTCTGATATGCTTTATTTTCATATGTTTTCTCTATCCCCTCCATTACAAAAACTGTTATTTTTCCTGAATTTTTAATTCATTTCGAACCAATGTCATGCTTTGAAAGAATAAGATAATATTTAGCTACTTCAAATCAATAAGTTTAAGATAGTTATCTTTTATGTGTTGCAGTTACTAAAACTAAACACACTCGGAAAAATCTGCTGACGTTGAACCGCAATACCGTACAAATTTGCTGCAACTTTGTTAAAATGTCAATTCGAATAATGCTTTGGTTCAATTCGGGTTGTAGTGTCTAGTAATATAGTTTAATTTTCACAATAACGAGGTTCTACTCACCGCAGTATAAAATTTGTAACAAAGTTCCACACTGTTCGAATTTTCATTCTGAAATTAGGGAAAAATAACAGGCAGCAGTCCATCAATCGGATTAACCATGAACTTTATAGTTAGACACATTTATTTGCCTTTGAGGTTTTGAATCTGTTTACAACTGGTAAAATTAAAAAAAACATTGAATACAAAACAATGTGGTTTTGTCGCCATTTACAATTAACATAGATTTTAAACCATAAAAATGTAACTTAAACTGACATTGGAACTCTGTGAGTGATGCACCATTTATGCGTGAATGATAGCTTCGTATTTTAGCCCCTTCCTTCTCGCTCCAGTGAAAATGATAGAGGGAGATTTCGCCCTCTATTTCAAGTCCCCGTGATATTTCCGGGCTGGAGTATTCAGTAGTAACGAGCCAATAACAATAAAAATAATTCATTTCTTTTGGCCGGAAACCATTTTATTTCTCATTTTACACAGCAGATGGCAGTACCAGGATATTTTTAAGGTAATTGTAGATAGTTAGTTTATTTTAAACTAGATGTCAGCACTAATCAAATAGCACTAATAAAAAAAATAAGTCCTTTTATGACCGTTTTCTTGAAAATTAACCTGCCGTTAAGGGCTTAATAGCCTAGGGTCACTGATTAAAGAGCTCAGGACACTTTTCATGTATTGACGGAATGGACGAAATATTATGGTTTCAATACTTGGGTTCGAATCCCTGTTCAGCCGGTCATGAGATTGACGGATTAGTCCTCTGAGCTACAGTATGTACCGAGCTGCACGGAACAAAATGGTTTAGTAAGGTAGGCCTAGTTGGGGCGGAGAGAAATCTGGTGGTTAAGTGTTAGGAAAAAAATCAATAAACGTTTTTTTCTCATACTTACTAGTTTGAATATCAAATATTTATGGTTATTTGGTTTTTGTAAATAAGGTTTTTGTAAATATGGTTTTTGTAACTAAGGTAATAAACATGGTAAGATAACGATTAAATAAATTGCTACTTCATCATTTTTCCCAGAAATTTTTAACTGTGCACAATATTATAGATCAAAGCGCTCCAAAATTATTAATATCGGTGAAAGAAAGTAAAAATAACTAAGATGTATTCAATGAAATCTTAAACAATAACAATATTCTTTTACCAAAATTGTTAATATTGGTAAAAGAAAGTAAAAAGCACTAAGCTATATTCAATGGAATCTAACGCAATAACAGTATTTTGTTTACAGTCCTTTTTAAAATCTACCAAAACTTTCTTACCTAATTTGTAATTTCAATAAAAAATTCTTTTTTGAATACATGCAAACTCTTTTAGGGATAACATAAAACATAATATTTTAGCAAATTATTTTAAAATATCTTATGTAAGTTCAAATGTATGCTATACGAAAAATGGCTTTAACATTATTCATTAGAAATTAAAAGTGTTACAAAGTATATTTTTTTAAACTCTAATATTTAAAACTTTATTATTGAGACTTTTTCATTACTATTTAGTTATACTTCGTTGCAAGTTATGAAAAGACCATTGCTGTATAGAATTTAAATAATCATCTGAAAATGCATGCAGTTCCGTTTTATTTTGTTATCAAATTATACAAATATGCTTTCAAAAGAATGTAAAACCTTTTAAAGTTATACTCGTTGGAGAGAAATTTAGTTCGTTCCATCTTTTACGATATTTATCATAAAATTATTAAATAAAGGTTACAGTTTCGTAGTTTTACTAAAATCCTAAATTTGGTGGCACATTTCGATAAATAAAGAGAACATTCGTTCTTAAAAAGAAACAACTATACGACGTTGCAAGAGTGTTGAATTTGAGTGAACCACTTAAAAGGGTGCTTCTTGCGCTGATATGCTCTTAACAAATCAAATGCGAGATAAAGAATTTTTACTTTTGTTTTGCTATAAGAGAAAGTCATCTGCAAGAAACAATATTTATTATTCTTTCATCAGTTTCCTTAAATGCGAACAAAATGATGTATATTTGTTGCGAATTTTATACATAATTTTTATTAATTCTTATTACTTGTTTATTTATTGTTGTTGTTAATAAGAAAGAAAGCAAAAAGAAAGCTGTGCAACATGTTGGTGATGTTGATATACGTTTGCACTGGGAGCTTATCATGCATGTGATGTGCATTTCGATGCAAACAGGTTCTCTCCATAGGGATAATGGATCTTTTTTTTTAACTTGCAACAGAGTTAAGTAAAAAATTTTAAAATTAGTAATTGTATTCTAAAACAAAATAATGCTTTATGATATTTTAGGGTCCTATTGGGCCACCTGGCAAACCTGGATTTCCGGTAAGTACGCTTAACTTGATTTGAAATGCGAAATTTTTTATTTTTATAAAGTTATCAAATTTATAATTAATTTTTAAATATTGTACACAAAAGCTTACTATACTTGCACTAACAATTTATTTAAGCTCGCTAGATAAAAAAAATTATGATATTTTTTTAATGATGTTAAGTTTAAAATACAGAAGCATTGGGGTAGAAAAAATGAAACAAAATGTATCTGTTTTTTTCAATGTAGGAGGGAATTCAATTTATGGTTACTAAACATTTTATTGCATTAATTATAACTCAAAATAATGCAAAATATATGGCTTAATTTTAATAAATGGTTTAAAATGTCTTCAATTTTTCTAAAGATTAAAATTGTTTTCTACTATTTATTTTATTGTAAGAATTGTTTTCATGTTCTCAGACATTTTTCATTTCAATATTTTTGCTGAACGTTTTAGAGCGTATTCACGTGGGCAATTTTGTCCTAAAAGAAGAGTTCTTAGATTCCTGAATTGAGTTCACAATTTTAAAGGATATGAAGTTGTGCATTGGTAGATACTAATCCAATATGGTTCAATGCTGGTGACATAACAAAATAAAACTTCAACTTTTAGCTTGCCATTGATGGCAAAGTTATGAGTAAAAAAATAAAATGTCAAAAAAATTTGCATTCGTCATTCGCCATCAATCCATCTGGAATGTCGAAATTTGCCAATGCTACGCTGTTTTTCAGATTTTAATCATGATCATTTTTAATAATCCTTCCAAATTTCTTTAGAAACATTTAATAAAAAATAATTACAATAATAATAATAATGTCACTGTGTAACTAATGTAATAATAATGTGATAACCTTTTATCGAAATGATACGAAAGGAAAATCTAAACAAAAAAAAATTTTATACATAAAATTTAAAATAAGATTTTAATTGTTTAAAAATATCGTTCATAGGGAATAGATTTTACATTTGAAACTGGATTATATTTTTGAGATACTTTACATTGAACATTACATTTCATTTCTATGTCACCAACAGAAACAAATTTAAGAAATTTAATGACTTACCTTAAAATACATCAATTTTAATTCGCGTTTCTTAAATAGTTGTATCGAGTAGTAATTGGCAATTATTAGGTTTTTCATAGCAGTTATAGATCTCCCCCAAGCTGAAGCGGATACCACACCTTGAAGAAAATAAAGTGTATGCATAAATAAGGATCTATAAATTCTTCAAATAATTATTAACGAGGTCATTATACACGTACAATTTCAAGTTTTATACCAAATCTTCTTTTATAATATCGTTATTTATCTTTATACCTATGTTAAACATAAGTATCATCATTAAATCGAGCATTAAAATAATATTTGATTTTTACCAATCCTTTTCACCTAATATATATTAACTAGTGGGCTGCGCCCCCTGCTCGCTGACGCTCGCCAACCCCCGAAAATTGCTACGCAATCTTATATGGTTCGCTTCGCAAACCAAGCTCACTTTTCTTGCTACTAACTTAGGTACATTGTAAATCCACAAAATTCTAAGAATTCAAAACAATCATTCAAATCCAAATAACAACTTTAAAAAAATTACATCTTTTTAGTACATACTAAGTCATTAAAATTAATTTAAATTCAAATAAATGACATGTAAATCGTAAAATAAATTCGTAATATATAAATTCGTGAAAATAAGCGCTTTCGACAAAATGCTAAAATAGAGATCTATCGACAAAGACTACTCACTTCTGCCTAGCTTAATAGTATGAGATTGCCGCAGCTGAATTGAACAACCTGATAGGATGAATTACGGAAGAGATAACATTTGGTGAGAATGCTCTCTTTGGTTATTACAGTTTCCGTTTTTAAAAGCGCTATATGTTGAGCCACCTCAGCTAGATTTGCCATTTTTAGCGGCAATCATTGGTCGATTTTCTAGCGGATCCCTTATAGTTTTTTAATGATTCAATTTTTGAAAAGAATTCTAAAATAAATATGCTATAAGATCTTTGATTACAAAACTTTAAAAAAAAAGGATTGTAGCATCAATTACTATATATTATTCTACTATGAAAATTTGCATTATTTAATAAAATATGTATTTAGCAAATATTTATACATTGATAAAATATGTACTATTATATTTATATGAGTATAAATATAATTCATATTTTATCATATTCATATTTCATTCAAATATAATTCATATTTTATATAAAATATGAAGTAATTTTAGATAATTTTGTATTACCGAATTAATTTATAGTATTCTGTGTGACTAAATACATTCTGTATTGCTAAAATATGAACTGATTTACCTAAATTATCTTTCTTTTGTTTTTAATTTTTTTTAGGGAGCTATTGGAATTGATGGTCCTAAAGGAGAACCAGTAAGCTTTTTTTCTCTAATTTATAACTTTACAATCAAACTAACGAAATCTTAGTAATATTTCATAAGTAATTTTAAATAATTTAGCTTGTTTTTTTTTCTTTACATAATTCAAAATTTTTAGTTGCAGATTGAAACCTTTTGTTTAAACTTGCATGATAAGTAATGAAAATCACGTATAGAAAAAAGTAAATTTTAAAAGTATTTTTAATGACTTGTTTTATTTACTTGTTGTTAATGACTTGTTCTTAAATATTTACGTCTTTAAATATGCATAATTAGTTAAGAAGCGTCCATTTAGTATCTTTATCTTTTGTTAATTTTGAAAGCATACATCAATTTAAAAACAGTAAGTATTTTTAATAATTTTCTGACATTTATGCATTCAATTATTTTAATTCTATCTTTGTTTCAGGGAGAAAAGGGAGAAAAAGGAGATAAGGTAACTTTATTTTGTTTTGTTCAATACCATTGAAAACACTAATTTTTGTACACTTTGTAAGTGAAAAAAATTGGTATTTATAAATTATCCTGTCGACCATTTTCGCCAACATCACGCCAAAATCATTTTGATATCTTTCAATTTTATTTTAATATAGTAATTGATTACAAAGAAAATGACAAACATAAATGTAACTTAAAACATGCAAAAAATGAGATAATATTTAAGTTTGAACCATTTAAAACTTTTTTGCAAATTTAGCATTAAAAGGTCGGCTGGATAACACGTAAGTACCAAAAATTTACATTCGTTGCGCTGTTTTAGAAAAGTCTGAAGCTCCTAATTCATTTAAATGACAGCTAAGGCATGATTATATCATTTAGATGCTTAATTCAACATTAAATTGTATTTCTAAATTTCAAAAAAATATTATAAAATTAGAAAGAAACAACTAAAAAGATATAAATTTGAATATCTTTCACCAAAACATATATCATCCTTAAAAATCGTTCAAGTTGAATATTGCATTTTCTTCTGGAATGTCTGTTTCAAATCTCATGTATCAGCTAGGTCCTGCACAAACGATCTGTAACAGTACGCAGATCATGGGATCAAGTCCCATTGTTATCGGATAAATAATGTAAATTTTTCATGGATCTTCATTCCATATAAAGCAAGGATAGGCCAGTTTTATTCTGAAACTTTCCACTTGGTTAATTTTGCTTTTATACTCGACTTATCAATTTTACTCGACTTTTGGGTAAAAATATACTTGATGGTGCCCCTTGGCGAAATTGGCGACTTATGTTTGGCGCTATTCCTGTTTGCGCGGAACACTGTGGTAACAGGAATGGCGGCCAAAACATAATGATATTTCAATAAAACATTGGAAAATTTCAACAAAACATAGGATAAAGCTTGCAATGAACCCAATATAAGCACAATTAATAAATCCAATAAAAAGAATTTTGAATCGAAGTTAAAATTAATGGAGTAGGCGCAGAAAGAGAAGGAAAAGAAAACTTCTTCATTAAGCTTGAATATTCTTAGATTTAGGTGCACAGAATTATCTAATAACAGTTAGATACTGTCTAAATTCATCATGAATAGAATCTATGTACCTCCATCGCCACATAAATTCGACGAAATACGAATCGAAAATGGCGTCTGTGATACCGGACTAACGGTGACATTTTTTTTTTAAATCCCTTTTTATGACTGCCCACCTACCTTCGATCTTATTAACCAGATTCAAAAGTAACTTTACCAGTCGGTATCCAACGTAGAACTAATGGACCTCTGAAATTATAACCGTTGAACATTTAAAAAAAAAACGCTAAAATCTAAACCAATCAGAATCACGATTGTGTTTCAACATCGCCCAGCTCGGCGTTCAACCGCGATCATATCGTGGCGAGAATCAAGGGGCACCCTCAAATATAGTTTATCCGACTTTTGAGTCAACTTCAAATCTGTAATGTTAGGGAAATGAACGGTATTGCCCATCTTTACCTGCGTAGGCTATTTTTCAACGGTGATTAAATAAAAAAAAGTCCTGAGAATGGTTAAAACTTACGAAAATACGATGCGAATAGTAACATTGAGAATAGATTATAGCTACGAATCCACTTCGTGGATAGGTAATGAAATATTCCTTAGAAGCGTTGAGAACTACAAATGTAAATCTTGAGTCACAATGGCTCAGGTGGTAGAGCGTTCGCCTTCCAATCAGGTGAACCGGGGTTCGATCCCGGCGATGGCTGGTCGATACGAATTCCGCATCCGGCTTGCACGACCGCAGTGGTGACGTGAAATATCCACAGTGGTGGACGGATCATGGGTTAGAGTCCCCTTGCCCTTAGGTTAACGGTGTGAGGTTCTCATGGCGTTCCTCTCCATGCAACGCAAATGAGGGTTAGTTCCTTCAAAAACTTCTCCACGAAGGCAAATTTCTCCCAGTACTTGAACCAGGAGTTCCCTTGTCTTCTGGATTGGATTCAAAATTACAAGGCTGCGGAGTTAACATTAGTAGTCGTAATCCCGAAAATTGGGTCGGCTGTTCAGTGACGATTATTAAGTGTAAATCTTAATAGATTCAAATCCAATTATTTGTTAAGTAATGAAGTACCGAGATTCATAAAAATAAAAAATACGACATTTATTGTCAATTGATTCAATCCATTTCATGTTAATAAAATACCTTAGAAAATAATCAAAAACTAAAAATATACGTATGTAAATGCTTAACCTCAAATACTTTCTTGGAAGATAATAAAAGACCCTTTATAATAGTTTAAACAACAACAAAAAAATACCATTGAGAATGTTCAATAACGAAATCCCAAGAAACGAAAGCCGTTTCACGTCTGGAAAATGAATGCCTGTTTTTGAGTGCTTGAAACACGTTAACTGCTATTTCCTATTGGCATATATTTGAAGCGAATGACGTTTTTAATCAAGTAAGAATTGAGAACAGCTTAGAACTACAAATATACAAATGTAAATGTTAACTGCCTTAAATACTTTCTTAAGTAATGAAATACCATTAAGAATGGTATGGAAGTACAAAAATAAAGTTTTAAACCTTAATTGCCGTGGATCATTTCGTAAGTAGATTGTTTATTTGTAATGATAAAAAAAATACATTATTATTTCATTTGTTCGCAAATGAAAAACAGATTGAAATATTAATAAAAATACAGTTGAAACACTTGTACAGAATTAGAAACATAAATATATATTATCGTAATTGGTAAACTTGAGATATTTTCTAATTAAATAGAGTAGATTATAACATTTTCGAGTGATTTGAATTTAACATTTGAACTAAATAAAATTTATCTTTAAAAATGCTTATTTCCATATCCATATAAGTCAGACATATTTCATATACTCTCGTATGAACTTTTCTAAATCTCATTCACGCCAACAAAAGCTAAATTTTTCACTAAAAGTTCAAACAAAATCTTTGAGTCCCCATTGTTCATTACTCTTTTGTATCTTTTTTTCTTTTTAAAAAAATCACAATTGGAGTAACTTTTACCTCATTTTCCAAGCAATTAATTACTAAATTTTAAATCTAAAAGAAAGAGAGAATTTATGTATGTATGCAATATTGCATAAAACTAGAGGCTCCTCTTTTGTATGGGCATGTCAAAAACAGATTTTCCCCAAACGATTGAGTACATTCTATAGTTAGATGAATTCAGCATAAGGGGATGGAGGGAGGGGGGAAAGGAAAAGCTATCATCAGAATATTAGAGAGGGTTGCCTTAATTAAATCAAGTACACTTTCATAAATGCAAACCGTTTGGTCGTCTCTATTTTAATTTCCCTCCTCTCTCTCCTCAATGTTTTTGAGAATCACTTTAAATTAAAATTCAAGAATGTTTCGCTTAAAAATTAGTTTAAATGCGATATTCTGAGACGATGGAATTATGTTGCTTAGAATTCTTTTTAGTCATGTTAAATTCTTTTCGTTGTTAATATTAATATTGGCTAATTAAACATTTTAATACTTTTCTATATTTCTCAATGCAGCATTCTCCTTAATTAAATACTGTAAAATAAGTTGAATAAATTTATTGAAAATTAAAATTCAATGAAATTAATTCCTACTAGAATACATATTTTCATTTATGAGTTTACAAGGTTTAGAAATATTTTTGTCAGCAATTCACATTTTTCCTAGAGCATTTTACTTATTTCACTCTCATTGACACTTATTTCACTGAACAATTACATGACTGTTAGACTATATGAATATTTAATAATTGCTTTTGTTTTAAATGTTTTTACAATTTTATATAATATAATATACATAAATGAGCTTAAGTAGATATTCCAAACACACTCCTCTGGACAGAGTTAAATATTATTCGTTATGTAGTCAAGTTTAGCACCCGAAAACTATTCCGCATCCGGCTGGCACCTTAGTGGTAGACGGATCATGGGTTAGAGTCCCTTTGACATCAGGCTAAGCGTGGAAGATTTTAGTGGTTTTCTTCTCCATGTAACGCAACTGAGGTTTATTCCATCCAAAAAGTCTTCCTCTAAAGCGAATGTCTCCTGAACCAGGAGTTCCCCCGTCTTTTGGATTGGGTTCAAAATTACAAGACTACGGAGTTGAACAGCCATTAGTTGAATAGTCGGAGTTCGATAGTCGTATACTCAGAATTGGAGAGGCTGTTTAACAACGGTTATAAAATAAAAAATTTTAGAAATGATTCCTTTAAAGAAGATTAAATTATATTTCCATTTCTAATTAGGACAAATTAAATTAAAGTTTCTCAAAAATCGGTCTGTTGATAATAAATTTGCTGAATATAAATCTGCTGAAAATATTTTTCTTCATTGCGCATTACGACTATTAAGATTTATTGCTCATTAATTCTGTATAATTTTATTTCTAGGGAGAAAGCGGATTTGATTTATTCACAACTACGAAAGTAAGTATTTCTTTTTTGCAAAAAAAGTTTATTAAACATAATTAGTTTATTAAACAAAGTTCATTAAACATTTAAACGCGTATTATTAAAACCTTTTATATCTATTTGTTGAAAATTTATAGCGCTTATTAACATTATGAGGTATGGTTCATCTGTAAGATAATCACCATTCATTTATGTGAACCTCAGATGTTGTTTTTAACTATAACTGCGTTTTTAATTTTTTAACTTTTGAATCTAAGACGTGAAAATAGTATTGCATAAAATTACATATTTTTGCTGTTATTAAATTAAAAAATACTCAAATACTAAGTTATTATTGTTAAAAAAATTTAATTCATGAAATAAAATAATTTAAAATAATAAATTACTAAATAATGTGTAGTTTAAGGGTTTACTTTTGATTATTAAGGATCTAATTTCTAAGTACGGTAACATTTGTAATGTTTTCACGTATTAATTATTTCCAAGGTTGTATGGAAACGATATTTTTTTAATTTTTATTATGGTAAATATAACGTTAAAAAAATTAATTTTGATTTTTTTTTTCATTTCTATTCCATAATATTAAAATCTTTTATCATAAAGTGAGTTTTATAAATTGTTTCGATTGGAATAATTTCTTCTGCTTTTAGATAAACAAAACAAATGCCGAGAAACATAATAATTTAAAATATTTTTCGCAAGGACAGACGCCTGAATAATATTTTTTTTAATAAAAACGTTTTATTATCAAAAAACACGAAAAACGCAATGGAAAGGGTAAATAATATAAAAGTAACTGCGGCAAAAAGCTAAAAGAAATTAAAAGAATAATTAATTGTCCTCTTAAATTTTGATTTTTCAATTCATTTTTTAAAAAAATAATCAAGAAGTAAAATAAAGATTATTTTCTGGTATTTATGAATTAATCTTTACACAGTTAAGTCTCAAAAGGAAAAAAAAAATTTCTTTTCTTAACATAGACCATTTAGGATGGAGATTATAGTCAAAACATCGCATTGGCAAACTGTGACCTTAATACATTCTAAGCGGAAAGATATAGTTCAGCTCTATATTACTCTTAGTAAATAGGAGTTAAAAGAAAGGTAAACTTTCAGGCACAAGCAGTTTTTCTGTGGTCTGTAATTATTTTTGGAAAAAGTAATCCTAGATTAAACACTCTGTGTTACTAAAAGTTAAAATGCATTAAGGAAAAGTTAGAGCACGCTAATCTAAATGAAAAAAAAATCAAAAAACCAAAATGGCAGAATTGGATTAATTTCCTCAAATTAGTTTAACAAAATTCCCTTCAAACTTAAAAGAACGTTTAGGAGAGTCCACCTTACTTTAAAGCAACATTAGAAGTGTTGTCAAGTGAAAATGTTCTCGGTCAACCTGATGGATAACCTTGAGAAAAGGTTATCCATCTAAATCAGTGTTTCCCAAACTTATGAATTTTGTGTACCCTTTCTAAATTTTTCGTAATGCTTTGTACCCCTAATAAAAAGATGAATGTATTTTTTACTATAAAAAATGCACAAAAGTTGAAAATCACAACTAGCTGTTGACGCCACTAATTATTAACTGTTTAACTCTGCAAAAAATAGCCAGTAGAAAAATACGTAATCGTAAATTTTCATGGCTAGTTTTGTTTTTAAATAAAATTCTTTGAAATTTTCATATGTTGCAAGATATTTCGCACCCCCGCTAAACTGTTCCCGTATCCCTTGGGTTACGCGTACCACACTTTGGGAAACACTGATCTAAGTCATCTTCGGAACAAGTAATACCAACTGTCCACTTCATAAAACAGAAATATTTCTGATTCCAAGATTGTCGCAGTACGACCCTAAACTCAGTTGCACGTCCTGTATGGCTCCCAACTTTTTTAAATCAATCTTTTTATCCTTGGCTTTAATTTCATCCTAACGAAAGCTCATTAAATGCTTGCTTTAATTTTAAAACCTATGTACTCTGCCCTACTAATCTTCTATAACAATAATACCAAAATGCTGATAGATCTAAAATTACGTTACATTTTGTGCTACGCGTTGATTTATAATAAAAAGTAAATTTGGTTTTTTCATGCATACTGAATTTTAAATAAAGCGTTACAAATATTCGAACAATTAATAGTAATGCGCACTTTAGTAACTGAAAAAATTTCATTGTTTTATATTTTAAGTATAACACAATATTATAAACTCCGGATCAAATTATGGTATAAAGTACCGGAACTTTAGGTGCATCATCCGTAAAATTCATTTTATTTGATTATAAATCAGTGTAATTCTGCGGTTCTTTGTGAATATGACCCGCCCTATAATCGGGTTTGTGGTTGTGTGACGTGGGCGACGCTGCTTCACCGCCGTGGCTTCGCCAATGGTGCCCACTGGGTAACGAGAAGACAGTAGCAGTTCTGGCACTTTCTGTGGCCAATGGACAATAGCTCCAAGTGCCTGCCATAAAAAAAAATATTCTGTGGTTCAACGTAATTATTACAGTAAAAATTATGATGCATCAAATTTTTGTTCCATAACATGTTCCAGTAAAAATTGTTTTTACTGTAAAAAGTTCCGACGTTCGATGCTGCCTGCACTTTTTACCGTAATTTTCTCTGGAATGTTACAGAATGCACAAAAAAATTTTCATTATACGAATAAATTTTCGAAGTAATATTAAACTGCAATTACACTAATAGTTAAAATTTTGTGTATAAAATATAAAAGCTAGTCGAAACTCAAATGTAAAACAATAAATATATATTATCAATTACTGAAATTATCTGTTCGACTGTTAAATTCTTTTCCGAAAAAAGAATAAAAATTTTGCGTTTATTTTTATTTGCATATTTTATTGTTCTGCAGAATCGTTTCTCCTAGATCTTGTTGGAATAATATATAGACACGTACAGTGAGAAAATGCTTTTGAACAACTTATCGTGGGCACCAGGGATGTCTAGGTTAGTCAAAAACATGCCAGTGAACAATTACGGAACAGAAGCCGTTTCAATTTTTCAGTTGAGCTGTAATTCAGGAGGGGACAAATGAAGTGCTTAATTTATACATATTTTCACCCTCCCTGTTTAGAGGAGTGCATAGATTATTCATTCTGTTGCCATTTCCAGGGTGGAAAAAGATCCATAACAAGACTACATGGTGGCACCATCGGCTACGCTGAGGTTATAGCCATTAAGGTCAGTTATGCTTCCAACGATGACTAACCCCTTCATTAGCATTGAATCTCTGTACACCCCACATCACTCCCTTCCCATAATTGCACACCCCTTCCATCCTTTACCCCCCCCTTGACGTTTGATCATCCATTTACTTACGTCATAACATTGTGAATCGTCTCTAATTTGTGTTGAATTTATTTTAACGCACGTTAAGGAGAAATTGTTTTTTTTTATTATTATTATTTCCTTTTTCGTTTTGTTAGTTCATTTCTTCTATTCATTTATGTTAATAGTTTATTTATGTTAATATATCATGCAAGTTATTGTCTTTCCGAGCAAAACTAAAATACCCGTTTCTTAATTTTAAACTTTTTAAGCATAAATTAATAAAAACGAATTAAATTTTTTACAAAATTGTGTTATTCTTTAATTTCAAAAGATATTGCTTTTACATTTCACCATAAAATGAATCAAACTTGACTCTAACAAACTATTTTTTAGCAAAGCATTTTAAAATTAAAAAACTAATTAATTAACGTTTGAACAGTTGAAACTTAATATAACCATTTATTTTTTCAATCACAAAGGAAATATTTCTATTTGAAATCGTTACGGAATCAAATTGAATATCAGTGCTATAGGTAATCATGATAAGAAGGAAATTAAATTGGATGAATTGGTAAAATGAAAGATAAATATGAATTTTTTTTTACTCAGTTATCAAATTAGAGCTAAATAGATTTAGCTATAAACAATACCAAAAATATATATTTTTAACATTTCTTTTCAAGTTCTTAAATATTTCTTGTAGTTTTTAAACATTAAGTAACTTCGTACATAGTAATGAATTTCAATATTTGACAGTATCAGAAGATCGTTTTAGCAAAAAAAATAAATTTCAAAAATAATTTAAATTAATAAAGATAAATTAAATAAATTAATTATGCTTTCATTAAATAGTTCATTTCATTTACATTTATATAATTATCATACAATATTATAATATGCAATAATTCTGTCTCCCACACTCGTAAAGAGATTTTAAGGTTTGAGTTATTTCGAAATCCCTTGAAAAGACGAAAAAATTATAATAATAAAAAAGAAACGTGTTTTATACGCGTTCATTTCCTCTTGGTGGTATTACTTGTAAGATATTTTATTTGAGAGATATAACTGAAAATGAGAGCAGAAATATAAAACCAACACTATTGTAAACAAAACTAATGAATCCCGTTTAAAAAAAATTACTAATGAACTGTATCATGGAAGAAAAATTGTGTGCGCATAAAATATATCTAAAAGAGCAACGTAATGTACAATAAAACCACTAGCATTAAAATAATTTATGAATGTAGTTTAATAATATTTTCTATTGAAGAGAATAACAGAATAAAAAATTTAAACATTCTTATTAATATAAAATATTCAAAAACAGCCACCTAGTTCCCAATGCAGTTGAAAAAAAATGAATAACGAATCCCGTTAGGCAATATTTATTCGTGAAATTTCATTTAATTATTGATAGAAATCTTTTAAAAAATATATATATTGTTTTACTTTTAAAGAAATATAGTATACGCATACATGTAGTACCTTCTTTTATTCTTGTCACAAATATCTATTGTGAAAATATTAAATAAGCTCACTAACACTTTAGATTCAACTTACTTTTTTCAAAGCATTTAAACTTTGTTTACTAATTAAGCAATTTATGTAAAATATATTTAGAATTTACAGTGATAAAGATTTTCAAAAGTTCTTTGAATCTGCAAAAGAAATAATGAAAAAACGATCATAACAAAAACCTTTAATTTTCTTTTCATTTCTTTATGCTTAAAAATAAGGATAAAATTCCACATTATTCAATTGTTTGTTGATAAAAAATTTTATTGTTATATTTTAAATAAAAAATAATCTTTTTCCTTCACCAGCACTATATTCCTTATTCTTTCAATGCTTGAGTGAAAACGATAATAATGCAAATATTTAAATTTAATGTAAGATTATTTTTGCTTGAATACAAATGAAATTCCATTAATATATAATTTACTTAAAAAATTATAATTTTATTTTTTTACAATTAAACTTCTTTTTTGCGTTCTAGTGCTTAAATAAAAGCGATTAAAAAACCTTAAATTTCAGTTCCTTATCTTTTTGCTTGAAAATAAAAAAAATCGCATATTTCAATAATTTATCTTAGAAAAAAAACTTTTGTGAATGTATTTTCAATAAAAATGGATTGTTTCCTTTTATTGCAATATATCTATATTTTAGCATTCTAATCAAACATGAAGTGGTTAATTTTATCCCCAAGTGGCAGCTCGTAGCTCGGCCAGATCGATAGGTACTAGGAAGTAAAGGCGGCCTGTGCGCAGTGCTAACCACAGTGCCACAATCCCGCCATTAATCGCATAATTGTAAAACCTTAATCTCCACCACCCTTTTGTCCATAACGAACTGTTGCGGAAATACTTTAATCTTTACTTTAGTTCGATTTCGTTTTGCATACCATGCTCATCCTGCTCATTAAAAACAAAAATTTGTCACTGCGATCCAAATCTGCTCTCGTGATACCTCATCGTAAATTCAAAAGCTTGTGATACCAGCAAATGGAAATAACATATTAGTAGAACACATCCATCATCCACTTTAAATTTTTTTACATTATTATACATAACCAAATTAATTTGACATGAGCTATTCATCAGAATTCATATAAATCATCAAAAAACTTCGCTTCATCTGCTTTACTGTTTCATATTTGTCTAATGAAAATGGGCATAATTGTTGGTAAAAAACTATTGCATAAAACTATTTGTTTTCATGCAATTAAGCGGTTCCGTTACTAATCATTAGCTTTCTCTTGTCGTCTATATTAATATTATAAACTGAAACTTTTCTTGATTCACTTATAGAAATTAATATTTTATGCTAAAGTTTAATATTTCATTTTGCCCCTTTAAAGTATGACTTGCTCTTAGAAAATGCTCGTTTTAAAAATTCCTACAAAAGTGCATAAATTACCTACATTTTTAATTATTTTCAATTATTTATTGAGAAAAATATAAATTATTTAATGAAACAAGTTTTAGGTATGTTACAAATTCAATAAAATAATTAATGCTGAAAACTTTTGACAAAACTTACACTTTTACAAATAACTTAAAAATTAAAATACTTTTGAATTAAAAAAAATATGTAGTAATTTACTGACATGACACATACTTCATAAATATTGCATAAAAGTATATCTAGAGAAATGCAAGGATATATTGAGATAAAATCAATTATAGAAAATTGTAAACTAAAAATTAAAAAAGAAGCATATGCAGCTTGACCTGATTTAATTCTTATTTATAACAAAACTAACTTTTTATTTTGCTTGGAAGACAGTTAACAGTAACTTTATGTAATGCATGTAATTGTTGTTCTTGCATGTTAGCACTTAGCTCTCCACTTATTGCACACTTGTTTTGTTGTTTTGCTCTTTTTATTTTTATGTTTAGGGATTAGCTAGTGTAGGTGTCACAGTTTCACCTGGTGATTTATTGCTTTTAAAAGTAAGTATAGCCTTTCTAATACATGTTTAAACAAAAATTTACTCCATTAGTTTTAGGATAATGTAAATAAACTTCAACTGTTGCATAAAACAGAACTGTTTCGTTTCATGTCTTGTTTCTAAGGATTATGTATGTTTATGTCATAGAAATAGTTGTCTGTATCCTAACTATGTTTGGTCATGATTTTTATTTTGCTTTACGTAAATATCATCTCAAATGCAGGACTCCAATTATTTCAAATTTAAATAAAGAAATTGTTTTGAAAATTTTAAAAAATATATATTTTTCACATTATTGTGAACGAAATTCGACTTTGGTCGAAAATTTAAGGAATCTGCTATTTTATACACTTTTTAATTTTAACTGAAATTCCTACTTTAAAAGTGAATTTCAATCAAATGATCTAAAATGACTGTTAAAATATGTTTTTTTAGAATTTCTAAACCAATTTCAAATCTCCTGTTTTACATTTTGTTACTGAAGAGAAAGAATTTAGTATAAAATTCCACTAAACTATCAAGATTAAATAATGCATAAAAAAAGAGATATAAATAGTTTTAAAAAAAATACGGAAAATTAAATTAATAATTTTTAAATACCAACAGAAATAAATGTTCGTACATTTCAAATCAGTTTGGATTTTCATAAAAAAAAAATTTTTTAAATACTTATAGAAAATCTTTCTTTACATTATCTAAAGTCTAAATGAATTCTCGATAAAAACTGAAAGGAACTCAATTTCTAACACTTGGATTAATCAAATCATACATACCATTTATTTAACTTCAATTTTCCATAACATTTTTATGGCTAACAACATACATTTGAATAAAAAACAAATTTTATTTTTTGCCTTAAACGTTTTCACAAATATTTATAGTAAAGAAGTATTTTATAATGAATTTGAAAATGTTTTTAAAACACCATAGTTTCCTCTTCAAAATATATTTATTTTCCGTAAGAAACAAAAGAGAAACTAAAATAATATCTTTAATTTATCAAATAGGGAGAACCTGGAAGTCCAGGTCCGCCTGGTCCATCTGGACCACCCGGACCTACGGGATTGCCTGGTTTTGACGGAAGAGTTGGACTGCCTGGAGAGCCGGTAATTATTTTTTTATAAACTTAAAAATGAATCTTCTCGATAACTCATCATTTTTTATCAAATAATTTTTTCATTTCCCCTTTAAAAAAATGCAATAACTTTTGGAGTTCAGCAATTTTATGTATTTCCTCTGTGTTTTTATTCATGGAGGTTTGAGATTCCTCCAGGATAAAGCAGCATAGATATTTAAAAACTTTAAAATAAAATTTTAATTTATAATTTTATTTTGCTATATAATTTTTATTTTCCGATTGAATACCTGATAGAAAAAAAGAAAGTTTTAGTGTAAACCAAGTTTATTCTTTCCTTCAGACATATTTTCATTCATAAAGTTCTTATGTATAAGATAAAAAAGTCAAAAAAATTTCAAAATACTTAACTAAAATTAATTGCTTTATTTTAAAATTTCAATTTTTAAGTTTGATACGCATAATAAGTAATCAAAAAATTGTAAATTTAATATGTTTCTTAATTCAAGACACTCTTTTTTATTTATGAAATTTTGAAGTATGCATTTTATTCTAATAATAATTTAAATTCGAGGAATTTTTCTTCAAGAAAAGGCATTTAAAAAAAAGCACAGTAGTTAATTGCATCGAAAATTCTGGGGAAATTAGAAAAATTCTAGAAAACAAATCAGTTCTGTCTTCACTTATGTAAATTTGGTGTATAAATTTTATTCGAATAAAAAGTTTTAGTTTTTAAAAGGTGAGAAGCAAATAATTATTTTATTACTTTCACTGAATAACCTTTAATGTTAAACTGAATAGCTGCAGAAAAATGAAATATTTCTATGCGTTTTAAACGACCAATTTTATTTTGAGAAAACGTGCATTCAAGTTATTTTGATTCATTAAAATTATTTATAATTAAGTTTATTTTTAACAAATTACTTTTAACGAATCTAAAAATTTTAACAATATTTAAAATTATTTAGATTCATTTATTGAAGTAATCATTAAATTATTTTTAACTAAGACCGAGATAAAACATCAAGTAGATATAAAGTTATATTTTTATTTTAACCATTCAACTTTCCTCACCAACAAGTACGATTTTATGTTATAAATATTTTTTGTGTTATATTTTTAAAGTATCTATAACACAAAAGTTGTTTTATACCGTTTATATTACATAAAAATGGCATAAATTACTACCGTATCTTCAAAGCCTTAAACTTTTTATCAGTTGCTATAAGAAGTGTTATTAACTATTTTTATAGTACACCAAATTCATTTTTTTCTGTTTGTTATATTTTAGGGTCCTCCTGGTGAACCAGGATCTTCAGGCTCCCCTGGTCCAGTGGTAAGCTTCATTTTTTTCTCTTATTGTTTACCCTAATTAAAAAAGATAATTTGATAAAAGAGGTGTTTAGCATTCTTAGAAGCTACGTAAATACAAAAAAAGAATAATAGTATGCTATAAAAAAAGTTTTGTTTTATTTCACTGGCATAAACACTGTTTAAAATTTATAAGTAAATAAAATAAAAGTTTCTGAAAGTGGTATGAAATGCACTTTAAAGTTAATAAATTAATTGTTAAATTAAAAATAGCAATTTTATTTTTCTTACTTCCCTCCCTTATCTACTTACCTTTTCAGTTGTAACTAAAATTTTCTATTTTTATATATTATGTACAATGTCTGCCCGCAGCGTATATTTTTATAATTTTTGTTGGAAAAAAAAAGGAAAAGTATGCACGTTACAAATCATTAACTAAAATTTAAGCAAAAAAGAAATAATGCTTTTGAGACCTGTCAAAACACCAGTGAGGAAAACAAAGTGAAAAAATAGCAAAATCAGACTAATTTCCAGATAAAACTTGTAAGTTTTTCTAATAAATGCCTTTTTATTTCTACCTGCAATCAGTTACATTTCAAAACGTAGTTCCCAAATAAGCAAAATAAATTTTCCTTTTTTTTAATCAATAACATCCTAACACGATCATACCATAACGTGCCATAAACGCCATTTATGTGCAATACATTGTACAATTATGTGCAATACATTGCAATGTTGTTTAATTGTTGTCAATACAAAATAATATTAAAATATTTCAATTTTTTACAGGGTCCAATGGGTAAAGATGGACTTCCCGGGCCTAAGGTAATACTAATCTTATTTCACCTCTTAACCTTTAATTTAAGTATAAATAAATTCATTAAAGCTTATTATTTAACTCAATTTTCCTTAACCTTTTGCTTAAGGCTGATATAACAGGTGAATCAGAATGACAGGCTTCATCATACTAAGCACCGTAAGCGAAGGGTTAATAAAGATTATCATTAGTTTTCATCAATTAATAATTAATTTAATTAGTTTAATTTTCATTAATTAATAAAGCTTATTAATTAATTTAATTTTCCTTAATTAATAAAGCTTATTAATTAATTTAATTTTTATTAATTAATAAAGCTTATTACTTAATTTAACTGAAAAACAAATTATTAATTTTTTAGTATTAAAAATTTCAAAATATTTCTTTAAAATAGGGCATTTTTGTAAAACCATTTATGTAAAATTTATGCTTCCCGCAGTGGATTTATCGTTGAGACACGGTTCCCAGCAGATCACCGAAGTCAAGCATCGCTGGCTGCGGGTCAGTGTGTGAGTGAGTGACCACTTGGATTAGTCTGTGTAGCGACCGAGGGTGTGCGGTATTGGTTCTCGTTAAACTGTTCTACAGTAAAGTGTTCGACTTCGCGTGCTACCGAAGCGGAGGTACATCGGGCTACCGAAGCGGGGGTGCCATCCCCTCTGCAGAAGATCAAAATTGTGATGACATGTCTTCGGATCATCCTCAGGGATGTTTCCCAGACCGTCACCAATAGCCCATTGTGCAACTCTACCTTGACGTAAATGAACTACAACAACAACAAAATTTATGCAAAAAAATAACATATGTGAAAAATCATCTGTGTAAATATAAAACATATATATGTGAAGTTCATTTAGTTTTTTCGGCAGAAGTGGGCACAGAACTCCAAAACTACAAGTTGACACGTAATTTAAAAACTAAAGTGAATTTTCTTTTTTTTATTTCAAAATTCGTGTGCAGTACACCCCCTTAGAAAGCGTTACATGAAGAAGTGATTACCAGTTTAGAAAACCAATTATATAGTTCCGCCTGATAGAGCTAAAAAATAAAGTATCAAATATTGCTGAACTTTTAAGTTTGGTAGAAATGGCTCGAAAGCGTGATGTCATGCTCACAGCTCTTTTAATCAGCGGTTCTTTAAATTCTTTATTCCAAATTTATTATAGAAATATATAAATTTTTATACAAATATTTCAATGCATCTTTGACTAATTTTTAATGTGTTATTCACTTTACTAACTAATTTTACTGTGGAATTTCATGCAAAAATATAGTTTTATGAACAAACTTTTTTTCCCCAACTTTCCGATATTTTAGGGTGAAAAAGGTGATCGTGGATATATGGGTGCACCGGGTCTTCCCGGTCGACAAGGAGACCAGGGTACTCCTGGATTGCCTGGGACACCCGGTCTCAGGGGTATTAAAGTGAGACTCTTTTAAAAAGTCGTTTTCAGTGTTTTATCCTAACCACTAATAACAGCATCATTAACCAAACCCACATTCCCTAACCACAACTAACTAAAATTCTTTTCTATTATTTTTTAATTCCATTTTTTTGTTTCTCCATATTTTTCTTGTTTCTGTGTCTTTAATTTTCAGCAAATATAATTTCTTCATTAATTAATAACTGAAATGTCTTTTGATTATTGTTTTTTGTATGCTTTGTTTCACTAAAACCCCTTTACTCATATTCTTGTTGTTTTTCATTGTGATCGTGGTTTTATTTGTTGTCTTTCGTGGTGTACTTTTTAAACATTGTTTTTTTTTTCTTATATTTTACATTCTACATAAAATCGTTTCGTCTCTCACTGTAAAGCATGTAAATAAATTTCTAAAAATTCTTTATCGTTCAATGTCTCTTGTATTCCTTGCAATGTATGCTTTTTGTTAATCACAAACTAATTGTTAGATTTTTATTGTAAATTATATTTAAGCCAAATATTTTTATTATAGTTGAAAAACATTTTGTTGCATAGTTTATTTAGTAACTTATAAATGTCATACAAAATTTAAATTTTAGTTCTATTATTAAAATCGAAATTGTTTTCATGTAATTATATATTAAGCTAAAACTTACAATTTTATATTCCAAAACTTTTATAACTGCTGAAACTATTTATTCTTTTCATTAGAACAAGCTCGTATTTTTGATTAAGTAAAGTACTGCTGTAAAAGGTTTTCTAATTTTTATTAAATCATTTGAAATACAAGCAAGCAAACATTTCTAATAGTTAAATTAACTATATTTTTCTTTGAAAATATTTTTAAAAAAAATGAATAGAAAACTAGCTTTAATTATTTAGATAATGGGATATATAAGTGATGACAATAAATAATTGGATATATAATAAGAAAATGGATATATCAATAGAAAATTTCTAAAAGAATGAAATTAATAAAATGAAAATATTAATATTTTATTTGAAAATTGCTGAGTTATTAAAGATAAAAATAGTTTAGAGACATAGAATTATTTTACTGATTAAATATATTTGCATTATTTTTATTTTAACAGCTATATTAAAATTATTGTAGAATTAATTCATATTATTATGAATTTAATTAATTGAAAAAATTTAGACAATATATTTTTTCCTTTTTGAACGAAATACCGCTTACATGTTATTATTGAATTAATTATTATAATAATAAATTTTGTTGATAGAATTACATAATATTCACTTAATATTATCTCTACTAAAATGTGCTGTTGTAGGGAAACCATGGTAAAAACGGAACTGACGGTGCTCCAGGACCTGCTGTAAGTTGATGCCTTCTTATTGGTTGCTGTTTGGTTATTAGTTGTTTCAGTTTTTTGGATTGTTTTGTTATTCTGTTTGATTACTTTTTGCTCTTTTTTTCCCCTTGTATCATTCACTGTTTTTAGTTTATTTGGTACAACTAATCTTAAATTTTCTCAAAATCTTTTCAGTTATGCTTTGGTTTATTTCATTTCCAGTCTATTTGGGGTTTTTTTTCTTTTCAAATGTCTGTGTAGCATTCTAATAACACATTCTAATCATTCTAATTTCTTAATGTATTATCGTTTATTATTCTAATGATGAGCGTGTTTTGATTTTTTCTACTAGTAATGGAAACATTCCAATTGTTTGATCAATAAAAATAATGTCATGAAATGTCATATCTTTGATGTTATTCTTGCGTATTTATTTATCTTTTGTGTTTATTCTTCCTTTCTCTTAAATATTTCGATAAATAAATGTTTACAAATTCTGACTTTTCTTTTTTATATTTTTGTGATAAATCTCATGGGAAAAAAAAAACTCAAATGGTTATTTAGCATAAATTATGTAGAAAAAAAGGTCCATTTAATTGCTGCAGAAAATACAAATAAAATTTATCTCCATATTTCAGGGCGAAAAAGGTGAAAAGGGCGAACGTGGTCTAACAACAACACTAGACGGAAACGCTTTCCCTACAGGATTTATAGAAGGTCCACCTGGTCCTCCCGGTCCACCTGGACCTGCTGGACCTCCAGGTCGAAAGGTAAGACGAGTGTCTGAAACCCAATGCCAGTTTAATCCATTAACATCCGACTTGTCGTACATCTATGATGTTTAAATTGCGATTGGTAATACATAAATGTTTAAATTTGGTACGTACTTTCTTACATAACTTAAGTTTTTAAAAAAAATATATCCGATGATTTCAGATCCAAAGTAAAAACTTTATTATTACGATAGACGTTTTTCCTACGGAAAAAATAAGTGTGCAACTAACTTCTATATTTTTGGGAGGGGAGGGGGAAGCTTCTTAAGAAATATTTTTAACTTTATGAATTATTCTAGTTTAAAAGTTCGTCAATGCCATCTTCACCAAGTAGATAAATATTTTCTAATTAATAATCTAATTTTTTCGACGATAAACGAAACATACAGTAATTTTTCATTCGTATTGCATAATTTACATTTGAAATTTTTCCATCAATCACACTGGTTTTTTCCCCATCTTTCTTTTTGCTATTTGTGGTTTAACACGCTCTAGTATTTTTCCATAACGCACTGTGACACTGAATAGTTTTATAATGTGTATCAGATTTAACTTCACTCCCAGTGCGTTATCATTACCGTACGTATAAAACTCCCAATAACCATAAATCTGAATAAAACTCTCGTATCCTTCAGATGAGAGAGTTGAAAGTCTTTAAAACGAGCCACAATCCGCATTGAAAAGTACAGAAAGAGACCGAAAATACATTGTGTGATGTTTCGTTTTAGGGTGACACCGGAAGTAAAGGTCCACAAGGCGAACACGGAGAGAAAGGGGATATGGGGGAGAGGGGACGACGAGGAAAAAAGGTTTGATTGATCATATAATACCCCTCACTCTCCTCCGCTTTGTTGTGCTCTCTGCTCTCTTCTTTGCAACCATTTCAGCCTCTTTTCCATATGTTCATCTGCCACTGAATAGAGAGAGACACATTTTTGTTGTTCACTGAGAGCCCCTTTTTCTTCTATTCATGAGCTCCTACTTGAATTGCGGCAGTTATTTCCCTCCACTTTAAACTTTCCCTTAACTTTTTCTCCATAAAAAAATTCTTCAATTCTTTTTTTTCTTTCTTTTTTTTTTAAAGTACGGGTAGGCGGTTTAAAACAGTTTTCGATGAAAGCATAATTTAAGGTTGTATTTCGATGGCCTTCATCTATAATAATGCCCTCTAGTGAATAATATGATATTTTTATTACTGTAGTGAGTTTGCAACAATTATTCATGACAGATAATTGTTCTTCAATTATTTTTATTTATTTATTTATTTTTTAGTATGGGTAGACGGTTTGAAACAGGTTTAGGTGAAAGCATAATTTAAGGTTGTATTTCGATAGCCTTCATCTATAATAATGCTCTTTAGTGAATAATATATTTTTATTACTGTAGTGAGTTAGCAACAATTATTCATGATAGATAATTGTTCTTAAATTCTTTTTATTTATTTATTTATTTTTTAGTATGGGCAGATGGTTTGAAACAGTTTTCGTTGAAGGCATCATCTAAGCTTTTATTTCGAGGACATATATAATAATGTCCTCTAGTGAATAATATATTTTTATTACTGTAGTGAGTTTGCAGCAATTATTCATGACTGATGATAACTCAAGATTTGCTCATTTTTAGCCAATGCCTGTCGACTATTCTAATGATAAAAATGGCGCAAAATATCACCATTGAGAAAATCCACAATTTCATGAAAATAATAAGCGTTTGTAATTTAATCCTTTCTTATTCGAAAATTTGTTCCAAATTCGAATTGTCTACGCTCAGAAAAGTTTTAAAAAATGAGGAATTTTGAATTTTGATAACTTTTATGTAGGAGAAAAAAAATTTATTAATTTAATTTCTTTATCTATATACATTTATTTTTCTCCGTTCTCACTATGAAAAAAGTATTTTCAAAACTAACGGAATATGGCAAAATCTACCGTAATTATATCTCACACCAAAAAGCACGGTAGGTTTTACCGATGAGCTTTGGTAATGATTTTGGTAAAATTAACTATGAAATATGATTTTATAATATGAGATTAAATTTGGAAAATGTGGTAAAATTTGACAGTTCTCTTTAGAGCATGGCATAAAAACCATTTTGATAAAAATTTATTTTTCAGTTATGTATTTCTTACTAAATGTGTGGTAATAAGAACTATAATTTTAAAAACCAGAATTTCCAGTTAACCGTTACGATGCAAGCAGGAAAAAATAGCAAATAAATGGTTTAAATATTTGATTATAACCAGAATAATATTTCTTTTTGCAAGAAATGTGATTGCTATAGAGTACGGTAATTTTAACAAGATTTTTTTCTCCGTGCTGAAGCCCAGATGATTCTTTATACCAAGATAAATTGCTTAGTAAAAATTATTGATTAACTTTAAGTTTAAGGCACATGAACTCCTGAACTAAGACTTTTTTTGGAAATGACATTTTTTGAAACAAACAAATATCCTACATATATTTTATAAATAGTGAATGCAAAATATTCGTCTCCATCGTCGTTTTTCTACGGGTATTTAGCAGACACTAATGCAATTATTTCAACAATAGCGCTGATATTTCTGGGGAACAGTTCAGGTAAAAGTCTCCAAAAAAAATCCTTCTAATTAAATTTATAAATCGCATTAATTTTTACAATTACTCTTATTATCTTTTTATAAGATTTTTACGTACTAACATAAAATTTTAATAATTTGGAAGTGAGGAATTTTAATTATGCTACTTAATTTAAGTGGGGGATATTTAAATCGATTGAGTGATATTTAGTTGGTTGAAATTTGGCACAAAAGCGTACTTTCTCTTAATTCGCGTAACTTTTTTTGACGGATTCGGATTATTTTCCTCTTCTAGGGGGAGCTGCAATTTGAAAAGTTTACAATTTGTAAACTGAAGTAAGTGTATGTTCATAGTTTTGGCATTCATGGAAATAAAAATAATATTTTTGCATAATTATTCGCTTTTATCAAAAGACAATGCCCTGTAATAATTATTTATCAGAAATTATTTATTATTTACTTTAATAGGGATAAAATAAAAAAATGAGTTAAAGTTTTAAAACCCTTTTAAACTATGAATTTTTTATTATGAAAATTGAAAATTTGAATGTAATTCGTTCAATAGTTCTCAAATAAATTAAAATTTCAACTTTTCTTGAAATTTTATTCAGAGACTAATCAATTTTTCATTTAAATTTGAGAATTCAATTTCTGTATACCTTACAATTCTAAAGCTTAATAGATTAAATAATTAATTATAAAAAATTATTTTTTGAATAAGTAAATAATTATCTGTAATTGAGTATAAACCTATTTCGATTACTTTAAGCAATTAAAGAGCTACGGCTCAAAACGATTTCTCAACTTTCAGCTCAAATTTTCAACCAGTCTTGAATAAAATACTGGAGCCGTAATTTGAAACATGATGGTAAAAGTTTCGAATTCGTCAACAAAAAAAAACCCGTTTGAAAGATTTAAAATATCGTATACACTAATCAATTAGCATATTTGATGTTTACCACTCAATCCATTGAGATAGCACATTATGTAAAAATCCAATCATCAGAAAATAAGTTATTTCGTTTTTTTTTTAAAGTTTTTTTTATGTCTGACTTAATATTTTTTGAAAAATCTTTTGCAATGTAAGTACTATCAAAGGACGAAAATTTATTTTCTTAAAGAAATCTTCAAGTTTTCTGTTTGATGTTTAACTTTTGGAATACTCATGCATGATACATAAGTAAATTGCATGTTTTATTATTTTTTTCTAAACTTTCATCTTAACTTATACGCATGTTCATCATTCGCCTTTCTAATTAGATAAGAAAATCTGTCAATAAATACATTTCTTAGCATTTCTTTTCTGCTTTTGCTGACATGTTTTAAAATCTGAAACTTGTGTGAAATGGAAATGATGAATTAATTTTCATTTTATGTTCTAAAATGTATTATATGTCAAAAGCAATGAAAAAGTTTTCGAGTCTCTTAGAATTATCAAACGTTAGCTTATTAATTAAAAAAATAGTTAATTAAATTATTTTATGTCGCTTAACTGATTTTTATAGCCTATCAGATGCTTCAGTTGCTATGATAGATCATAAAAACGGCTAAACATTTAAAATACCAAATTTAGCAAGTAAAAAGATGTTGTTTCTCAACAGGAATATATCAACTAAGGGAATTAGATTGTGTTGATTTAATAACTAATAATACTTCTTTTATCAAAGCATTACTTTATAAAGACGATCAAAATTTCTTCGCGACAGAAAGAAAAACATTAAAAAGTTTATGTTCTCCGATTGCTACATTAATTATTGGGTGATTCTATCGTATGTCACGCGCGTGGCACAATCAAATTAATTAATTTTGTAACTTTGTTTCAATGCCTATAAATTTCTTTTTCTCAAATGAGAATTTTTGATTATTTTACAAACATAATATGCTGGAAAAGTCACTTTAACATGCGATATGTCGCGAAAAGTGTTTGGTATAATCTTTTAAATAATTTAAAGATAAGGCATTCTTCTACAAAAACGAATGTCTTTTTCTTTTAGTTAATTTATGCTAATATATATTTAATTTAGTGTTAATATTCAGATCATTAAAATTAAAAGTCAAGTTAAAAATTAGACATTAAAAATACATAATAAAATAAGCTCTTACATTTCCTTCTTTTTGCTTTTAATCAAGGTTATAAGGCAGTGAAAAGCTGTTCGTGACATTTGTGCTGTGCTAGAGGCATAGTGACTTAGCTTAAAGAACCGCTCTTGGTTGGTATACCGAGTTTAAATCCAAAGACGCACAATGGTCTGGTCATCCAGTTATTTTCTATGTGGATCGATCAAACCAACTTTGGCAAGAAAATTCCCGTCAAATCACTGAGAAAATCCCCCCATCAATTTAAACTTTTAAAAAAATTTACAAATTGGCAGAAATCTAGTTGATAACTCAATATTTACGAAACATTTTAAGCTGGTTTACAACTCATATTGTCTGACCTTCCAGCACGTGACTTGGAACAGACTCTTTTATAATACAATTCTTAGGTGTAAATTTTATACAAAAGTTTGTAAGTGTTGATAGTATTATTGTTTTTAATTACAAAGCATAAATTTATTTATGGTCATTTGCTAATTTGTACGGTTACCTTCAACAAGAATTCACTTTTTGGTGCCTAGAAAGAATGTTATCAAAGAATTCCTTTTTCATGGAAATTTTTTTCAAGATTCTATCTTTTGCGAGGCGATCATATTGAGTTTTATAAAATTCTTAGAATAGAGATCTTATATTCAAATTTTTTTATGGTTGATATATGACGATCTTGTCTAATTAAGAATTATCCCTAAACACCATAGAGTCTTTCCTTGTTAACAATTTTTAAAAACAGTAGCTTAAGTTTAGCAACTTAAAAGCTGTGATATCCAAGTTCTTGAACCCAGATACTCAAATTAATGGAAACTTTGCTTGGTGTGTAATCGAGTGTAAATGGAGTGTAAATGACCTTAAATATCCTTTCAAATCATGTGTAAATCAGAATTCAAATCACGTGATTTTAACCTCCTGAAAATCACGTGAAATTTAGCTGGTAAAGTAGAATTTACATATCACATAAAATAAACAACCCTTGCATAAAAACGAAAACATCCTTTACATCGATTTTTTCGTTTTACACAACATTATCAGCACCTGTTATACGTTGAGTTATTTTTATTTATTGTTATAAAAATGTCTAGACGATAACAGGTACTTACTTATTAGGAAAGCAAATTTAACGCATTCTTTCAAATAATAGCTTTTGTTTGATTTAATTAAGT